CACAGTGGTGTGGATCTGTCCACTGCTTTGGTACACACTGCAATATCTCAAAAACTACTGGATGCATTGGTGTGGAAATAGACTTTTTTCACAGCAGTCACATTGACATGAAATAGTAGGGGAAACACAGCTGTTACCAATGATACTTATTAAGGTTCCATTCCATTCAGGTCATACAAAGTCAGGGTGCTGCTGTTGTGTAAGTTGGCTTATTGGAAAGGTTCTGCTGCTCTAAATTACCTTCATTAGTATCATAGTTAACACCTGTGTTTACCCTAATATTTCATTTTAAAATGGCTGCTGTGTAAAAAAGTCTATTTATACAGACTTTCAAAGTCAACGGTCTAAGATATATGTGGAGTAGAATTATGGACCACATGGGCCGCAGTATGAAGTGCGGACTGGCAGCTGGACCTTGAGCAAGGCACCTAACCCCTAACTGCTCCCTGGCTGCCTACGGCTGCTGTCTGCTCCTGATGTATACAGTAATGTCTTTAGGATGGGTCAAAAGCAGAGGACAACGTTCCTTCATGTATGTAAAACGCTGTAAATGCTGTATATACTGTGAAATGACAATAAAGACTGATATTTGTATTAAATTTGAAAAAAAAAAAACCACTTTGAATATAAAAATGACTTCATGAAACTGGTTGAGAAATGTAAACGCTATAGTGCTGTTTATCCAGAATAAAAACAGAACGCCGACGACGCTGACGTATCCCAGCAACAGGCCAAAGTGGCCGCTGTGCCGTCTATGTTTTATGTTTATATTGTACTGTATATGTCTATGCTAGCTAGCTAACAGTGAATGCAGATTAGCTTGCTAGTTAGCTTTTGTTTTTGTCTGAAGCAAAAAGGCTAGCTAACTAGCCAAATAACTAGTTGGCTAACAATTAATGTAGATTAGCTAGCAAGTTAGATAGCAGTTTGCTAACATTAGCTATATGATTATATATGTCACATATACCATATATAATTTGATTATATATACTTTTATATTTTGTTATACAGAGAGCCTAGCACATGGCATAGCTTGCTCAAATGTTATTGGAGCAGAGAACAAAAAGGGGCGGGACTTGGGCCAGTATTGCTTCCAAAATCTGCACCTCTTCTGTGGCTGATGTTAATTTCATAATAATACTCCCTAGAGTCAAGCATCATAATTTAAGTGACAATGTGCAAATACTACTGTAACGCGGGGCATTTAACCTTTGCTGGTTTTTCTAAATAAATGAGTATACTCACTTCTCCAGGCACCACTACACCACGGGGTGTGGGTGTGACAATACCCAGATATTGGACATACAAAAAACAATATGAATTAATATTGCCAAGTTCATTTACTATGGAAAAATGATAAAACCTTGAGATGAAAAAACTATGAAAGTGGACTTTTTGTCAAACTACTGTTTCAGAGGTCAAGATTGAACTTTGATGCTGAAAATACTGGACAGTCTCAAGGTGTGTATGTGATGCATTGTTCCATCTGCATCTGACAAAAGGACTGTGGGTGTCTGTTTCACAGCTAAGGTGTGAATATTCATATTTCCATTGCGACAATAATATGCTTTTTTATTAATCAGGCACGGCATAGCAAATAAGAGAAGAAAAGAAAGGCTTATCAGTGTTATAAACAGCGAATTAGGGGCATAAAATGCTTGAATTTCCACCTCAGTGTTGCAGTGATATCAACTAACATCATCAACAACATCTCTGCTATTCATAGAAGTCAATCTGAAATGCACTTTTCTAAATTTGTCATGTTCCAGCCTCCCCCCCCCATAGGGCTCCACCAACTGCTTTCAAAGAATGAGCACAAAAAGCAGCTAGTTTATCAAAAAAACATCTGTTGTGAGTGCTGGCAGCTACTATACTCTCACATACACACAATATCAGGGCAGGGCACCTCCCATGAGCACACTAAAAGGTCTTTCATAGCATTCAAAGGCACTCTGCTCTCCCAATCAATGGGAAGTTGCCTGCCAGGCTGTGTTACTGGAGACCAGAGCTGGGCTTTTACACTCTGTGGTTTGATAAGGCTCTGACTCAACACCAGGCAGAGTGCTGCTGGCCATCAAAACAAAGTCTAAAGCTGCTCTACAGCAGTTATCAGATACCATCACCATACGTATTTCAGTTCAAGACAGATTTAAGACCACAGTGATATTACAAGCCAGACACTGTAGAAACGGGACGACACATGCCTCGGGGAAGTATTTCAGAGCTTGGGAAATCGTCAGCGACTTGTTAAAATGAAACAAACATCACAAGGTGGTTGTAAAGCGTCATGCAAGTGAACTTACACATCCAAAGGGAGAGTTCACGCACAATCAGTTCAAACAACATTCAGTGGCTACATGACCTAAACACCAAAGATCCAAGATGTACAGTATCGTACAATTCTGAGGTTCCTGTAAGAAGGGCCTGAGCCAGCTTTACTTCCTGAGGAGGCTTAGGTCCTTTAATGTCTGCAACAGGATGTTGCAGATGTTTTATCAGTCTGTTGTGGCGAGTACCATCTTCCTTGCTGCGGTGTACTGGGGTGCAGGCATCAAGGCAAAGGACGCCAACAGACTGAACAAACTCATTAAGAAGGCCGAGTCTGTTGTTGGCTCTAAGCTTGTCACCCTGGAGGAGGTGGTGGAGGACAGGATGCTGGCAAAACTGCTGGCATCAGGGACAGTCCCCCTCACCCCCTCACCCCCTCCACACAACACTGGACAAGCTAAAGAGCAGCTTCAGCAACAGACTCATTCAACCGCGTTGTTCTAAGGAACGATATAGAAAATCGTTCCTCCCCTCTGCAATAAGACTCTATAACTCATCTGCCTCTGTCAGATCCACAATCACAGAACTGGACTAAACCTACCCATCACCTTCTATCTATCTATCTATCTATCTATCTATCTATCTATCTATCTATCTATCTATCTATCTATCTATCTATCTATCTATCTATCTATCTAACCATCTATCTATCCATCCATCCATCCATCCATCCATCTATTACAGTTTTAATATGAGCACCTCCTTGACAAACCACACAATCTACAAGTACTACTTAAATGCATCTGTAATATTGATCCAATAACAATATAACACTGACTGATCGATTAGTATTATGGCTACTTTTATATGTACAAATTGTTGCTAATACATCCATATTTCTACTTAAGAAACTGTTTGAATGCAGGACTTACCTTACTTACTTTAACTTGGTCCCAATTAAAGGACCAGTGTGTAAGATTTAGTGGCATCTAGTGGTGAAGTTGCAGATTGCAACCAGCTGAATAACTGCTCTCGCCTTTCAAGCGTGTAAGGGAAACTACAATAGCTGCACAACTCGCTAAAGGCCCTATTTAGAGCCATTGTTTGGTTTGTCCGTTGTGTAACAAAAACACAACCATTCTTATTTCCAGGTGATTATACACTAATGAAAACATACCTATGTTTAATATATTCAGGGTGTTTGAACTACTCAGAGTTTAATACTGATGCCTCTATAGGACCTACACAAACAAACAAGACCACCAGTAAGAAGACTGGCTATCCATACATAGTTATTCTTCATGTCTGCCACTCATGTCATGTCAGATCCCCCTTGAAATCAATGACTTGAGGCAGTGGAAACACTACCGCTTTTAGCCACAGGGGCCGCCAGAATCAACACTAAATGTTCCTTGTAGGAGCTTTAAGTAAGGGTCTGAATGCAGGACTTTTATTTGCTATGGAGTATTACTGTACTAGTGGTATAGCTACTTTTACTTCAGTAAATAGTGAATAATTCTTCCACCTCTGTCTAAATACACACTTAGAGATGTGCTAACATGTGTTATACCATATGTTTTCCCCTACATGTGTAGGGGAAAACAGTTTCAGCCCCAGTACAGTCAACAATGATACAGCTCTCTGCGTGAGGGGCCATGCTGCAAAAATGTGTGTGCAACGTGTGCTTATCCTAGAAACACTATGGAGCCCCAGAATTGCTGTGTTTCATTTTATTAAACACAAATTCAGTAATAATATAATAATAGTGGTAACAGTAATTTAGCTTTATCCATCAAGGGCCCTGAGGTCGAATAAAGGAGAAGGAACAACCTTCAGGCCCTTATGATGGCTGTAGTTACTGTGCTTTAGTGGTGCATATTTCCATGTTATCAGTTAATCAAATTACCACAAACCAAGTGTCACACAGTCAACATATGGCTTTTTAGCAGTATAGCTATCAAATATCAACATGTGCTATTCCAAAAGGATGTTTATCTAGTTTATTTGGTATTAATGTTAATGGTAGTTCAATGTAAAGTCCTCTACCTCCATTCATTTATCTCAGCTTGCAGAGTGACCTTATAGTGATTGTACGGGAGCACGTGTATTGGATATTTTAATATTTATGGCTTACTCTGTGCTCTCTGTCAGGTCTAATAGTTGAACTCATGAATAATTCGACACACTCAAATGAGCCCAAAACAACAGCATCAAAATGCCATCCTGTGCAATTTCAGAGCTCGCTGGAGGTTTTACGGAACCAAACTAATTATTAACTGATGAATCACACTGTACCATGAGAACATAAAAGTGGGACTAATCCATAAATGTTAAAATGGTCAATAGATCTTTTCTTGTTCTTTCATACTCTGGCTGTGTGTGTGTGAACGTGGTAGCCCCTGTAGCCTCGAGTTTGTGCCTCGACCAACCATGTGGATAAATAAAAACAAGTACTTATTGCCTATCGGAGTGCTCCCTTAAATTAACTGAAGTACTGAATACAGCGGTAAGAAAATAAAACCGATGTAACAAGTGTTTGCTCACACACATTTGCCCTAGGTTAAAAGAGTAATCATTTACCAAGAAATGGATCAGAGAGAATCAGAAGCATGTGACTCAGAAATCAGCCAGGTCAAGCAAAGTGACTGCCAGACCACAGCAGCCAGTCAGCTGACTGACTGCAAGGGAGGGATGGGGGGGGGGATGATGAAACACACCAGGACTGCAGGCACTGAAGCATAAAGGACCGTTTATTGTACCCAGTACAGATTATAATAAACTCAGCAGTGTAAGAAACACATTGTGAGGGGGAGGGGACTGAAGCCTATACAAGTGCAGACAATCCCCCGTGCCTGGGGGTGGATCTCATGATATAATGTGTGTCTTCACTGTGGCCTTTGCTGGAACTCTGGCCACGCACACACACACGCGCACACACACGCACACACACTCACAACAGGTACACAAGATACAGCTTCCATTCTCCAACCCAACACCCCAGCCTCCTCTTAAAGAAACAGTCTGCAGTAGTAGCGTCGTAAGGATCCAGATTGGTTTTTAAAAAGGTACATGTCTATTAGAGCCACAACTATACAGCTTATACATTAAAATCAAAACAAATGCAGCCTTATAGCAAAAATATATACTTTATATACGTTTGTCTTTGCCCCCATTCAGAAACATAGATAATGAACACAGAAAAAAAATGCAGAGAATATCACAAATATCTTCTTTGTCCAAAGACGGTAAAGCGATATGTTAGTGGACACACAGTCTTGACTGATTACACCATGCAAAGAGAAGCAGAAGTCTCCCGTCGACATCTTGTGATTGGCAGAGAGGTGTCCAAAAGAAGGTGTCAAAAATGTCACCCTTCTTATTTTGTGTTTTTTTGCATGCAACGTCCTGATGCTCCTGCCATACTGGTGCATCAGAGGAACTAGTACACTGCCGAGGAAACATGAAGCACCCAGACAGAAATACAAAATGTGACCATTTATCATACATAATAACTTCTCAGGCTTTTATGAATTATCAGCGCCTCTGGGAAAATATGTACTCGTGTTATGTATCCCTTTTGAAATGGAGGAGATGGGGAGTGCTAGTCAAGGACCCAGCAGTGATGCAGCGGACATGAGAGGAGTGTACTGTATAGACTGTGGGCTCCTACCGTGGGGTGCAGTCTCTAAAGGGAAGCGTACGCGGGCAGAGCGATTAAAGAACATTTACACGAGAGAGCAGCCCAACCAACTAGCCTGAAATACAGCAACGCCCCAGAAACCTGAGAGTTCTGGGTCTCTAAAGTCTCAAACAAAACAGAACAGCTGGCATATTAAAAAAAAAAAAATGTAGTCCTATCTACAGGAAACAAACTGATTAGTGGCTGTAGAATATGTTGTGTGTTTTTGTCAATCCGTCTTTGCAAATTAAAGCCCTTTCACGGATCTTGTAGTTTAGATGTGGCGACATGAAGATGGGAGGGACCCAAAAAGGCATCTATAGAATAGTGCTGCATTTAGAATATCTCTTTCAATTTTTACTGATTTTACTCATATTTGATTGTTTTTAAGAAAAGCAGATTGTCACAAACTCAGAAATGTAACAACTCTTTCAGTCTTGTACAAAGGGGGGGAGGGGGGGTATGTCCGTTTTTTTTAAAAGTTGGTGGCGTGTAGGCCTTGCTTCGTTTGGTCTCTGTAGCAACAGCAGCCACTCGCCTTACTTTAGGAAGCTTGTAAGGTGGGCAGAGCGGCCGAGTCCAGTTCACCCTCAACGGTTTTACAACCCTCTCCTCCCTTCTCTCTCTTTCTCTCTCTCTCTCTCTCATACGGTGTAGCTGTCGCAGGTTTTTCCCCTCATTCGTTCTTAGCTTTGGAGCTTGCAGAGTCTTATGAAGGTTTTCCAGGGAGCAGGAGAGGGGGAACCGTGAAGGAAGCGGAGCGCAAGGGTTTTTCTTCCCCCTTCCAAGCACCTCTGCAGTTCCAGCTCTGGATTTTAAGAGTGGGTGTCGAGAGACTTTGGGAGTGTTTGCGTGTAACATGTGTGTTGTGCATCAGGAGTCTGCGTCTCGCTAGTAGCTGTAGCCGTCCGGGAAGGGCAAGCCTGCCACGCACTGCTCCCCGGCGTCCAGCAGGTAGGGGGCGGTGTCGTCGTAGTGGGTGAGGGGCACGGTGTCATCGTCCAGCCCTGGCAGGCTGTCCGGGTCGGCCTTCAGGTTGGGCCTCTGGTTGTCAGGGAAGGCCATGGAGAAGAGAGCCTCGGGGTCGCACACAAACTTGTACACGTACCTCTCACCAGCCACCTGAGCAACAAGACCGAAGACATATTTGACTCACATATGAAACCGCCTGATTAATACTTCTGTGTTTTGAGTGCATACATATCATCACAGTTGTACATGTGGTATTTCCTTTACAAACTCTTGACTTAAAAAAAAGGTCCAGTGTGTAACATTTAGGAGGATCTATTGTCAGAAATAGAATATAATATCCATAGGTTGCCACTGAATCCTACACACCGGACCTTTAACCATATAGTCATCTGCCTCCAGTACCTGACTGATCCACCCATACTTTATTTTTTCTGATCAAATTTAAGACTTATGTTAAATGATCTGGCTGACATCTGAGACAGACAACACCAAACATAAACATATTAACATATTTAGGAATAGAAGAAATGTGGCCAGCAGGCTAGTATTTACTTCAACTATTTAGGTGCTGGCTGTGATACAGTTCTACAGGGTGGAGGGAGAGAAAACAAAAGGGCGAACGTGCCTTTACCTTCTGCATGATGCCCTTCTCATAGTAGTAACGCAGCGAGCGGCTCAGCTTGTCGTAGTTCATGGCCGGTCTGTTCTTCTGGATGCCCCAGCGGCGAGCCACCTGAGACACACAGGACAAAGAACTGCTGTTAGCTTTATGGCTGGGTATTGGCAAGAATCTGGCGATACGATATGTATCACAATGGGTTACAATATATTGGAATACTGGAAGCAAGACAATGTATTCCAATTTAAAATAAAGCACATTTTAGGAAATGTCATAGTATAAAGTACACATTATATACATATAAAAACATGAGTAAAAACAAAAAACTTTACTTTTTCTATACAGAATGTGTTATTTAGAACAATACAGCCATGCTATATAATCCATACAGTGTTTTTGAGAATTAATACAATATTGCAAAACAAACTCATGGGACTCAAGTGTATCGATATTTTCTTACCCTAATTAGCTTTAGAGAATTGATATGTAGTGTAGGTCAACATGAATCCATAGATTATAAACTTTTAGTAGTGTGAGTCAAGGGTTTTGCAGGTTTCAACAGGTTCAATTAAATTCCTTTTTATAGACAACTTTGAATGTAATTTTAAGACCTATTTTACATCCACATTGGCAAAAAAGTACAAAGGATATGAAGGATATTGGTTCCATGTTGGTTTCATTTTGTAGCATGATCATTTTTTCCCCCCATACAAGTAACATCGATTTTTAAAGGCCTGTCAAAAAATCTGTAAGGCCTAAAATAGAGAGGATTGGACTTATTAAGACCCTGTGGACACCCTGATGAGTAATTGGAAAGAAGACATAAATCTGGTGGTGGACAGTGGGGACTGACCTCCTCAGGCTCAATGAGCTTGAACTCCATGCCGCGACCAGTCCAGGCTATGAAGTGGCCATTGGCTGGGTCGTCCAGTAACGTGACGAGGAACTGCCAGAGCTGCAGGGAGCCACGGCGCTGGTAGGGGGGGCCATCACGATAGACAGAGGGCTCCTGTTTCACTTTACCTTTGAGTGGAAGAACAGTGGCAGAAATAAAAGAAGAGGCAGAAGGGGAAAGAGTGAAGAAAAAGAAGTGTCAGTCAGCACTGTATTCTGCCACGGCCACAGTGTGGTGAGACATTCCTGCCAGATGGTCACTGTGAAGTGGACTTGCTGTTCATCGTGCACCCCGAGCAGTCAAAGGACTGGACTCTGTCCCAGAAAATGCCCACACTTTGTGGGCATATCGAGTACTTTTACGCTAACCTTGTGTTTACAGTGAACATTTTTCGATAATTTTTTCAGGCTCACCTTCTAGTCTCTCAGGGACCACACAGGTATCGTCAAAGTACAGCTGAGGATCTCTGTCAAAGGAGAAGCCTGAAATTGAAAAAAGAAAGAAACATTAATGGGTTGAAAGCACAACAGCAGACAGAGCGTGGGAAACAGGCTTTTGTTCTGACATGAAGGCCGGCGATTGCGTTCAACCCTGAGATCCAAACTGCATGCAAAGCAATATAGCTGGGCAGCCTCCCAAGAGTGGAAGCTCGCACTGCGCCGAGCCTCTGCCAGCTGCTGATGTGAGAAACGCACTGCGCGTGGAGCAGCTACACAGGATTCATTGAAAGATTTGCTTCCCCCTTGAGCTGTCATTTCAACGCTGCTGACCTATTCTTCCGCCACGGCTATCACCAGCGCTGAGTTTTCAGCAGCTCGATAAGGCTCATGGTCACAAAGAATGGGCTCCACTAATGAAATAATGCAAACATCTGAGACACACAGAGACAAAAGCAGACAATAATCTGAACTTACTTTCATGGTTATTTTGGTAGAAGCTCCCCGCTCTCCCAAACGATGACTGACAGTTAGGCACTTCTGTAAACAAAGAAGATGGGTGCATAAATTTAGACCAGAGACATCCTCACTGTCATATCAAATGTGTAATACATCAAAATCCACCTCACAGCTGACAGATATATTTGGATCACTGCCACTGTGCACAAAGATACATGGCTTTGATACTTATCTACAGTTTATATGGTTTGTTCTATGTTTATAGAGGAGACACTCAGTCTGAACTATATTAGTGTGCTAGGTCACATTGATAAATATTATATAGTACGGGTATGAAAAGGTCAAAACACAAGGCGTGCAGCTCCAACAGCTGGGCTATAAAATGCCCAAACCCAAACACACACACACACACACACCTAAAAGTGGACTAAAGCCCAGATCAGAGTTCACTGCACATCCCTTGCATGTCCACCAAGCCTGTAAATAAGATTAGCACCATGGTTGCTGTTTTAAATCTCAATGACAATCAAGTTACGCCAGTCCTCCCCCCGAGGGGTCAAAGCATGTCTTCCGTTCGCCTCCACCCCCACCCATTATTTTGCTTCCTGTCTACTGATAAGACAACCAGAGATCAATCTTGAGCAAGTGTTTGCTTAAGTCTGTCTACAGGAAGTACCATTAATGTAGAGAAACAGAAGAGAAAGAAAAACTCTGGAAACTGTGTCTGTGGAATGCAGATAATGCATGGATTTAAACTGTGGCCTTATATCTACAGAAATGGTTGTGTCACTGTCTGTAAAACACCAACGCTGTGGTCACAATATGTACTATGTCAGTATGCTGAACACGCACTTCTTCCATCCATCTAGAGATACCAGACCTCTGTGACGTAGGTATTTAAAGGCCATAAGAAGCTAAGAGGATTTGTCATTACATCACTGCCTGGCCAGCCGGTCAGCCGCCAGGAAGAACAGGACAGTATATGAGAGCAAGTGGAAAAGATTTAAAAAAAGTTACATTTCAGGAAAAGAGGATGCTAATGCATCAGAGCGGGGACAACAGCTGGGCGTGTGGGCGTTAGGATCAAACCAATGCTCCGACAGCTGCGCTTCCTTGTTTGATTTACACCATGTGAGCAAACAGCATCTCTGCCGCAACTGTTTGACAAGGCTTTTCAGAGAGGACTGGCACCATTTGGCCCCTTGTGTATTCTCTGAAACCACGTTGAGAATTACTAGGTTCTTACAATCAACTTGCTGCGCTGCAGGTCACTGAGTCCTCAGAGGGCGCTGGCCTAGATCTATTCCAGGTAGGCTCAGTGAAGAGGTTCTCTGCACCTGGCTGGATGGCCCATTTACTTTTTGCCCTTGGAGGCTTAGGCTGAGCTAAAAGACCCACTTTTACTTCACTGCCCTGACTCTGGAGGAACGATGCAGATTAGTCTTCGAGGCACTAACGCGCGCTTTGAGAGAGTGTTTGTGTGAGCTGAGCACCTGTGCGCCCAGGCCTCTGCTGCATGCTAAAACTCACAGGCATGTGTTAGTGCCCCGAACAAACAGGCACATTCCTCACCCTCTGTCTGCTCTACTTGCACACAGCCCTAGACAATTACTATCACACAGCTAGCTGTGGACTTTTTCTAGCTTGAGAGGTCACTCTCCTCTCCTCTAAACCGTGCCACTCACCAGAATCGAAGCAAAAGTCACGAGGCTCCTGCTTGATGGCCATGGGGTGGAAAGCGGCCTGACGCGGAGGGCCCTGGGGTGGACCTGGGGGGCCCATGGTGGGGACACCCTGCTCGGTGTATCGTGGGTCGATGAGCTCTTGCTTAAAACCCTGGGGAGGCACGGCTACCAATGGCTCTGACATCTGCCGATGGTACGGTGGCCGGCTGTCTCGTGGCAGTGTGCTGTTGTTATTGGCAGCCTGAGGCAGGTACTGGGGGCGACCTTGACTCTCTGATGGGGGGAAAGGTAGGCATGGCTCTGACATCTGCCTCTGGAACCTAAAGATGGAGGGGAAAGTGGCAAGATAATGTGTTTAGTCTCTTTTCACAAACACTGCTTGCAAAGACAGCAGATACAGAGGCTTTAGCTCACCTGTGCTCAGGTGAGAAGGTGTTGGCATCCTGGCTGATGGGTGCGCAGGGCACAGCGAAGGGTGGGCTGTGGCTGTGGCCTTGGAGCACCTGCTGGTTGGGAGACCCTGCGCTCACCGTTAGCGCCTGCTGTAGGTGCACTGGACGCGGCACTGGGGTCGGGTTGGCTACATGGGCGTGAGGAGGGGGGGTCTGCTCACTCAGTGGGTGTGTTCCTGCTGTGCTGGTGGGGCCGCAAGGAGAGACTGGTGTTGAGGGGGGAGTTAATGGCTTGAACCCAGGAGTGGGCTTCCTGTCACAGGCACTGTAGATGAAGAGATGGCACACACACACACCCACAGTCAGAAAAACCCACAGAGGAGTAATCAATACGCTATTCAGTGGCTGCTGCCATGCTCTTGGTAGACTGGTGGACTACAAATGGAACTTGTCACTACGTACCTGTAGCTGTAAAGGCACTTCTCTCCGTAGGGCATGGGACTCCTGTCCTGGCGACAGGGAGACAGCTCTTTGTGGGGAGTCAGCTCTCGCTTGATCTTGGCTGGTGGCGGGCCATGAAACATCACTAGATAGGAGGAGACACAATTGAGTGCATTAGATAAACTCCAGATATCACCTAATTGAAGCCATAAACAGAAGTGCAGCAGTTATCTTAACCACATTTGGAACTGATGGATAAATGGATGTATGGACAATGTCTGTTGTATTCCCTCGACTGACAGAGCCACTTAGCAGCAATTTATCATCGGCCCTAATGATGCTCGACTCCGGGATCTGAAAACAACCATCTATCCACCACTGCTAGGTAGCATGATACTAACTGCACTATGCACACAAAAGCTATCAAACTTCTCGTCTGATTCCCATTAGGCTGGGCCAATACCAATACCCATGAATCAGTATCGCTGTAATCTAATGGCGGTGAATGATTTTCTTCTCCCGTGCTGTAACCATTAGACACTAGCTGCGTATCGGGTGCAGTTTCCGGGGCGCCACATAATAGCCAGGCAGAAACTAGATCCCTGGGCACAGAGGAGCGGGAGCCAAATAAATCACAAGCGGTGCTGATGGACCTAAGCAGAGCTAACAACGGGCATGTGAGCTCCCCTGTGAAACCTAATGGCTGGAGTGAGACTCCTAACACACGGAGAAGAGTAAATAATGGGGAGATGAGGCATCTTTTCTTACTCTGGACTGGTGGGCAAACAAGCACCTGTTGTGGTAAATCCTCTTTAGGGCCGCAACTAACGATTTGTTTGATATTTTCATTGCTGATTAATCTGTCCATCACTTTCTCGATTGTTTCCAAAAAATTGTTGGAAATGTTGCTCTGTGTTTCCCAAAGCCCAAGGTGACATTCTCAAATGTTTTGCTTTGACCACAACCACAGCCACAAAGGAGTAAAGAAACCAGAATACATTCCCATTTGTGGGATTTGTGAGTTGGGTCCTCGGTCAGCCCTGGTTCACCCCATGTGATGTCCTCAGACTGTAACTCATATCGGAAAATCTGGTTGTGTTGAATAGGCAACTTGTGAGAGAGAACGGCCTGCAGCCTAGCAACAGAAGCAACAGCCAAACTCACATCTCTGTATCCCACGCACACACACGGCGTACTAACTTGCAAGGTCAAGGATTACCCCACAATGCCCGACATACAGAATAAACCAACACGCGTACACAACCTTGGACGGGCCCTCTATAAACATACATACATGTCAGTGCCTCAACCTCAATAATATGTTACAGCTCTACGGGCAAGTGGTCAGTTTGCAGCTCGCTGTGCCACATTAACCAAGATTTAAAAGGCAACCCTGACAAAGACAGGCAGCCGCCACACCCTGTCTCCACCTCCTACGCATCAGACGAAAACATAAACTCGCAAAGACAGAGGGGAGGAGGGGAGGGTCATAAAATGCTCCATTGGACATAATTCAAATACATCCCTCAGCTGCAGCCTTAAGGCAGTGTGCAGAGACAGTAGGGACGGCTGCTGTGTGGAGCAGTTTGAGGGAAGGCGGTGCAGACAGTTTGCGGGGATGCGAGTTCTGGGGAGCAGAACTGTAATGGGGAGCTGTGAATCAGCCCTATCCACTGGAATCTAGCCCACTTCAGCAGCAGGGTCTGAGTGCGGGAAAGTGTGAAATCAGATTAGGAGCTTGGCTCATGTGATGCCCCATGCCAATCGGCTGATTAAACTCAAAATGGAGGGAAGGAGGGGGGAGAGAGAGAGAGCAGCCTTTCCCAGAGCCGTGCTTTGGAGATGAAGAATGGTGTTTGTCCTCAGCAGGATGAAGACATTTTGATAAAAGAGGGGTGACCTGGACATGTGGTCAAGGACAGCGATCCAAAAAGAATGAGTGTTCTCTCAGATAAAAAATGAATTAATGCGATTTGAAAATGTTGTGCTGCTAAAATATAGCTCAGTTATCAGCCACTGCTAAAATGCAAAAACCAGGCTGGACCAAAAGATCTTAATGATGAGCCGGTTTTCAAAAAAGCGGTCACTGATTCTGTTCAGAAGACACATGGACTCGTGATTACCAGAGACAAACAATAGAAATCAGGTACTCACAGCTATCCGACTGGAAATCTGGGACAAACTGTTCGTCATCGGGCACCTGGGCTGTGAAGATACAGAAGAATGTCGCACGTGTGAGAAAAATCACACATACACACATAACCTCTCTATAGCCAATAGCCTAACACCGACACCTTTATGTGCCCAAAAATGTGGACAAAAAGGCAGAAACGGGAAAACAATCTAATGTTAACAACTTAGTGTAAAAAGGGAGAAAGTAAGAATGAAATGGCTACTTTTAGGGAAGACAAAATGGGTTTTGGACAGCTGTTTCTCATGCATAGAACTTTGCTCTTCTTGCTCTAGTAGCTAGCACAAAAATAGCAAAATTTCACATTCTCGCCAAGTTAATCTTTAATCTTAAAAGTTTCCCAATTTCATCCTGTTGACCATTTAGAAACATTACAAAACTCTCTGGGGGCTGGTTGTAGGGGAGTGAAGTGAAAGGAAACACTGGCAGAAACTATTCTAAAATGAATCCAGAACTCACCTTCTGCTATCCAGATCTCCTGCAGCTGACTGAGGTCTTGGAAGAGTTCTGAAAATCAAGTAATGGAAGATATTAAATGTATATTCCCATCAATCAAATTACATGTTAAAACATAGTGCTTACAGGGATCAATGCATTCACATCAGCAACGTTACCTTCTGTGTCCTGAGCGAGCTCTGTGTCAACAAACTTCCTCTTCCTGTCGTTCAGGGGCCTGCTGTGAGAGGGTTCCTCCACATGGGACTTGTGCTGTCGAGAAAAGATGAAGAAAGGTCAGAACATTGACAGAAGATGTCACTTTCCCCCACCAATGGATGATGGTATGGAAGTGCAATAGAAATGTACAGTGATCTATGGTGACCTCCCATAACACAGAGCCATAGGTTGAAAGTGTGAGGATGTGATGTGTGAGGCTGGCATGTGTCCACTTACACTGGGTGGGACCATAAATGGGACTTGCTGGTCATAGAATCCGTCCATGTTATCTGGGCGATTGGGGGGGGCTCCAATATTGGGGGGAGGGGAGGTGTTCGCTTTAAAGCGACAGCGCCTGGGTCACTTTGTGGGTCACTGGAAAACACCAAGATTGAAAGTGGAAACATAAAGCAGAGGTCACACAGTTACAAAATAACACAGTACTATTAAGTGTAATATAGAGTCAACGCGGTCGTGATTCACTTTTTTTCTTTTATAATTATTTTGAGGCCCTACTGTGGAGGGCTGTGTATTGGCAAGAATCTGGTAATATGATACGTATCACCACACAGGAGTTACGATTCAATATGTTGCCAATACTGCAAGAGGGTTTCCAGACTTTTTCCAGACAAACAAGTACATGAAGGAAAAACAGCATGTTTGTTGTTGTGTTTTGAAGCTTTGTTTTCAGACTGAAAAGTGCAACTTGAGCATACAAGCATACAAATCTTAAGACCTTTAAAGAATTCAGAATAATGTATTTTAGAGTTATTAAGACTTTTAAGACAAGGCAATATATTTTAACTAAAAAATATATAAATGTAGGAAAACTGTCATAGTATAAAGAATACACCACCATATGAGTAAAAAAAGTTGACTTTCTTGTGCAACCAGAACAGTGGGCTCTACCATCCAACATCACGGCCCTGCTATGTAACCGTTCGATGAATATCGATCGATACAATATCACAGTACTCAATTGTATCGACATTTTCTTACACCACCAATACTGTGTGCAGGGCTTCATTATATAACAATGTTTTTATGCAGCAGCACGACTGGTACTCGTTCTGATGCTGCAACAAGGCCACCATCTTCTTTATTTAACCAACAAGCAGCTCTTTGAACAGAGCCACGCCGAGCGTAAGGACACCGCGCACAATGTAAACACACACTCCTTATGGAACACATACACAGTTATATAAGCCACGCTCACTGGACTCCTGTGGGCATTACTTTCCACTATAATCAGCCTGGAGATTGTGCGTAAAGGACTTGGAAATGTGACCCTTCAGAGTGTGCCATGGTCTGTGGAGTGCCTGACATAAAGCCTCCCAAACAAGATAGAAAGAAACAGCCAGTCGTAGAGAGATTACTGTCTTATAGAAGCTTGGACCTATTGTTGGGTGACAGTACTGCTGTTAGAGTTAGCCTGAACCCTTCCCCCCTGTGTGTAATAGTATAAAGTTAGGGAGGAAAAGTTCCCTTTAAACCACAACAACACTATAACTGGCCTCTATTCTCACATCTCCCTCAGCAGAGTGATATGACTCACTCCTCTATCTCCTGTTAATGGATGACGAATGCAGGATAGCTGCTGGGCAATAATTACAGGCGCGGAGCACAGATAGCACTTATAACATTAACTCATTGCACATGTCTTCATGTGGGGCATTATGTTCAGAGCACATCAAGAGTATGGAGTTATCATTAACTTTATCAGCTCTGACACTATCCGCACATAGGTAAATAAAGGCTGAAACTGTGGGAAACAAACAGGGAGACAATTTCACTGCAAGATAAAGGACTTTAATGTATGGGTTTTAAATAGGAGTTACTTTATATCCAACACAACGACAGTAATGACCTAATAGCTGCTGTAAGACAGCAGCATCGACTATTAGAATACTATAATCAGGTTGAACCTCAGGGGGAAATAAATATAATGCGCAATATGGTCCCTAAACGCACCAAAAACAAAGCGCTAACGCAGTTCAATCATTTTCACTGCAGCTTCACGGTCCCTGCAGCCGGAAAAAGTTCACTTGGATACTGCGTGATTCACACCAACGTTATAACACAGCTACATCTTCGTTCAAACTTTTGTGCTTCGGTCGGGGATGGGGGCCCGCCGCTGGGGGACGAACATCACCCGACACCCCCTGCCTGCCGACTCCCCCCACCTCCTCCACTCCTCCTCCTCCTCCCCCGCCCTTCCCCCCACCCATCCCTCCCTTGTTTTTCTCAATGAAGTGAAACTCGACCCGTGTAGAAACACAGGGGGGAGGAAAAAAATGGCCCGTCCATTCATAAAAATCACAAACAGTCGGCCGACCGCGTTAATAAGCCGAAGCCAGTATCCACGCAGATAAGCCGAGGACCGAATACAACACGCACCGGGATTAAATACGACACACGGCGTCTATTTCACGAAGATATGAGCCGATTTAAAATGGTTGCCAAAGTAAATATCTTTAAATAAGATGGCGTTTCGTTTGTTTGTAATGTAAAAGAGCGTTAGAGAAATATCTCTCCATACTGGGGCTTCGTAAAAGCAACTTCTCACCGAAATAAATTGTGCAGCTTACCTTGTCTGCGTATATAGCTCCTCAATACCGAAAGAATGCGGTAGAAATATCCACTAATAAAAAAACAACGTGTCGGTAGTCGTGTAGTCGTCTGAGCACGGTCAAACTGGTGTGCCTCCTTCGACTCACAAAACTTGACTGAGCTTTTCGTTAATGGCCCGGTTGGTTTTCCCCTGGGCTCGAGCGGCACGCAGAGACACAAGCCGATTGGTTGATCGAGCCTGTCCGTAAAGTAAGCAGCCAATGGCTTCTCCGGAGCTACTGAATTATGCACGAGTCTAGGTTTGGCCAATCACGGCGCGGCACTGGCCTATTTTTATGAATGGCTGGATTTCATTCACATTTTTTTCAAGCGTCGATGCCAGGATATGTTTATTAAAGGGCCAGCTGCAGGCAGTGGAAATATACAGAAACCTACACAGAGGCTACAACGCCAGTGCCAAGCTCTAATGATAGACTATTACACTGAAAGAACAATGTGTTGATGACTTTGACACACTATACTTCACTGAACATTATGATCTTGTTTAACAGCTTAGTAATGTAACAGAACTGTGTTTCAGGAGAAGTATGCAAGTGTCATGATTAATATGGATTAAAAAGAAGAAAATTTACTTTAAGTACATTTTAAGAGGATAGAAATTACATTACAAAGGTTAAATACCTCAGATCATGAATGTTGCATCTAAAATATATGTCCAATTATTTAATTATATAAGCATTACTGGCCTTGTTTGTGTTTACATTTGTTTGTTTATTTACTCTTTTAATAGAAAAAACCTGTATTATATTAAATCAGCTGTTACATCTGTAGATGATCTGAATAGTTTTACGATTAGTTTTCATTAGTCCACTTTAAAATTCAAATTCTAAACGTTAGAACAGCTTTGGACTGTAAGAACAGTGTTGGAAGTTCAAACAGATCTTATGTCAGAACTAAATCACTATTTTTACTATTTGTGTCGTTCAATACCTAGCACTAAAAAACTAAAGCCTTCCTAAGAGAAAATAAGATATCATGACTTGTGTGTGAGTGTTTGCTCACACATATGTGTGTGAGGGAACAGCTGTTGAAACCCAGAGGTTAGAGGTCATAAATAAATAACCTTTGTCATTATCACCTCAGTCGCCAAATTAGGAATCCCTTGTATAAACTCTGTGTCGATGCAAACGTCACTCTGAGTTTAAAACAAAATCCAGCAGCTGGTATGAAAACTATAATCCCCTGTAAATCCCCGCAGCCACTATGCAGAGATTATGAGCCTGCTGCAGTGGCAATAATAGTAAGAACTGATAAACACACATGTAGTTGTCAGATAGGATACGGCGTTGGTCATCCCAGAGGTCTAAGGCCAAAGGCAAACCGCTTGTGTTTCAGGGCTCCGCTTGGAGATGCAGCACTGACAAATATGGAGGTGAGAGGGCTTAAAAATATCCACCGTCAAATTCAATTGTACGTGTGTGCGAAGCATTAAATAGCATATCTGAAAAGCAACAGCCTGCAGGTCCACTGTATGGTGCACCTCTTCGTTGGTGCGGATGTGGTGGGTGGTCACTTGGAGGCGTGTGGAGAGTGAGCACATTGTGTTGCTGTTCTTACTCTTTCCTTAAATAAATGTGCCATATGCAAAGGGTGACATGCTGCTTGTGTACATACCTCTCTCTCTGAATGACTGCGAGTGGGCGTTGTGAAGGCAGGGTGAGGTTTTAACGCCAATTTCCTGCTCCCTCGAAGACTGCTACTGTAGGTTAGTGTGACACTGACATAACGGCCAGGTCAGCAGTGCTGCCTTGGTGCAATGTGGGCTAATCCTGATACTAAGAATCCTTTACTAAGCCAGGTGATAGTGCCACAAAAACACTACGCCTGGAATCTCTGAACCATGATCCTTCATGTAGATTTACTCTGCTGAACAGACAATCTGCCACCGGTTCCAGGTTGAAAGTCCTCCTCTTTCCAAGGAAGAGGAGGAAAGGTCCATTTAGTAGCTGTAAAGCGTTTGATCATATTGTCATCAGCTAATAGAGCTCACCCAGTTGTCATTGAGTTGTAGATATGCAAATTAGCACTTAGCATTAGCATTTCCTTCCTATAACATTGTCAGACTCAAGGACAGTTAAAAATCCCTAGATATTGCCTTTTTAATTCCTCACATTCTTCTTCCTTGTCAAAACTTGGTGCCTGCATTACCCACGATGCAACTCGAACCACCAACACTTTGGTTGGAGACTCAGGCGTGTTGATGGGTAAGAGAGCCTCAAGCAGAGATGAGGCGCAGGCCACAGAGGTCTGATAAGCTCACTTTTTTACCTAACTACTCCAGATTGTTTTCATTTTCAGTGGTGTAACACACCCACCTGATGCTGACCCAAGTGACATCACTTGAGGCAATTTATCACCTTTTGTGCAGTTCCCTCTTGATCCACAAAAGGCTTTATAAATGATTTTTATGGGTGAGAGCGTTATAATTGAGAGTCTTAGCAGTCTGTCCCGGCATGCAAATGTCTGTCAGAATGCACATTTCAAAAAGAGTTAAAACTGGAAAGTAGAGCCTCTGGGCGCAGGATGCTCTCTCACTGAGGGACAAGATGTGACTTGCCTGCTATTAATAGCACTCTGGGAGATAATTCCTGCCTTGTTATCTTAGCAGCCGTACTCAAGAAGCCTCGCCAAAGGCAGACTCTTCTGAGGCTCCGAGTTGTATAACCATTCTTTTATTATCTCTCTCTTGTCTCACTCCCATTCTTAATTCAATGCCTCCTTCTTCTTTGACATTTTCTCTTTCTTCTTGATTTTCTGTCGTTCACTCTCCCTGGCTCTGCTTCTGCTTGCTCGGTAGGAAGCGACTGGGCCACAGATCAGGGCCACATGGTGAAAGGAATATTAAACACTGTAGAAAATGACTAGGAGCTACAAAACCCTCCCTTTGTTCTATTGTGATTCCCTTTTTTAGTGTTTTCAGTAATTGTTTTCTTTTAACACGACTAGCGTCTACAACCATGCTACCAGCTCCGTGAGGCTGTAACAGGCACAGCAGTGCTTTGAGCTAAATACTAATGTCAACATGCCAAAACAATAACAATTCTAATGTTTTGAAGTTAATTTAACTCAAAAACGTGTTGAAGAGGATTACATTGAACATTTTAAGTAAAACTAAAATCCTTGATCAAGTAGCTTTAGTCATTTTAATGGACAATGACTTAATTTAAAAACAAAATGCTACTTAATCAGGAATATTTCTTGAACTTACAAAACTATGTTAATGTCACTACTGTTAAAAGCTGCTTACTCAAGTATCTTTTTAAACTTACAAAACTGAGTTTGTGTTACTTAAAATTTTCAGTGTAATCACTTTCAAGAGTTGAGTTGAGTTAAATGAACTTATCTGGTTTTACAGTGTAGCTGTGATGCTAGCATGGCTAAAAAGTGAGTACGTTTTGTTTCATATTCTCTACTAAATCTAAAGCTAAATCTAAAGCTAAAGCTCTTTAAATAAAAACAAGGAAATCAAGGACAGTGCATTTATACTGTCAGTGGTTTAAGGCTAATGGGAAAACTGTTGCACACTGTAGCCTACTTTAAAATAGTGTGTAGCATATATTTCTTATAAAAAATAGACTCTATTATTCATAGGCGTATATTATGTTCGCTAGCTACAGACATTGGTACAAAGCACTAGCGGTATATGCAGCATCAGCTAGTGGGGCTAATGCATTGTTTCCACATAGCACACTCAAAACAGAGTTCTAAGTTATTTAAATATGATGCATGGTTATATTCAACCTCTCAGTAGTCAATAAAATTGTTTAAATTAGCTCCACTTCAACCAAATACAACCGCAAAATGCTACTTTAATCCAGTAATATAAGATATAATACTAAAACAGTCACAGTATTTTTCTGAATTATGGCTATTTCTACTTTTGATACTTTAACTACATTTAGCTACTGATATCACTTATATAATAGTAATAAAAGTGACATTTTAAATAGAGGACTTTTACAAAGTTAACATTGCACTTTCGCTTTTTTTAGTTAGGTGAAGTATCTGAATACTTCTTCCACCGCTGACCTTTGTAAAGTTTAAAATGTTCTAATTTTGTCACCACTGCATCAGAAAAGGATTGTCTCAACTTCTGTTGTGTAGGATTGTATTACCTAAGATTACTGTTGATGGTTCTGTTGTGTTGGCCAGTAGGGAAACACGGCCTTCCTCTAACCACTGTCTCACTGTTTGTTCACTCATTCATTCCCATCACTGATTTCCTCTCCGTCTGAATCTGTTTAATGCCATCAGTGACTCACAGTTGTTGATGGATATATCTGTCTTCAGATCATCCACAAAGATTTAAAAAAAATGCAGGTTTCTGTCTTTATCATGTGGCACTAACAGACAGTATCTAACGCACTCTGATCAGATCACAAGTGAGTAAATAATGGTCCAATCCAAATCCAACCAGCTGTAAGCAGAAACCCCAGAGTGCCAACACTGCTAATATCTGTGGCCATTAAGTGAATTAAGAAAAACAAAGGGACAAATGCATATTCAACCTCTGTTTATTTGGTAAAATGTTTTGTCCATCAAAATGCCAACAGCTAACAAACAGTGAGGGTGACATACTGTAGAGACAGACATGGGGCAGACTGCAGAGGCTGGACATATTGATTTTTCAACCTCTTTCATCCAATCAGATCCCGGACAACACAGGGGACGAACTGCCCTTGACCCTGCTGAGAGTCCCCTACCATACTGACCCTGGGGGGGTTCATATCACAGACATCGAATTTATAAATCAGATCATTTCATTAACTGTACTCTTGGTTACATACAGTAGCTTTTCCCTACCCTGATACAATCACCTGAAGCTGTGTGATGACTTTGCTATTGTGATATGTAGTATCTGAACTGTGATCCCCTCTGTAAACTCTAGCTCTAAGATTTGATGCTTTAGTGTACACGAAGAGCAACATGCTGTCGAGGCTCTGCTCTATCTGTGCCTCTGATGTCACTCAATACTGCTAATCTGTCCCAGGATGAGAACTGGATCGCACCAGTCAGGACTGTATAGAGTCACCTCTGCCTCGGAGAGGGGGGGGCAGACCAAGCTAAAGGCGGGGGAAGGGGCCTGAGATAGTTCCACATGGGGGA